ATAAACAAAGTTAAATAAAATAATTCTTTTTAAAAGAAGAACCTTCATATTAACATCTAACAAATTCTGGTGACCACATGACTAAGGAGTTTGGCAACTGAATAAATGAAGATATAGTTTCATTGGAAAGCACGTGCATGAATATGTGTTCAGGAACGGAAGGAATGTTAAGATGGGTACTTTAGGTTTCCTGGAAGAAAAATTGGAAAATAAAATGCCTTACAATTTTTTTTCTTCTTTCATTCTTTAAATCCTTACATTCGTGGAATCTACCTGAACAATAACATGGGTGGAGGTGACCTCGCTCAGCCTATCTCAAACCTGTGTTTCCCCCTCTCCCCCACATTCATAACTCCTGTTTGCCATGCTTCCTGGTGGCCTGGCTCCCACCGTGTGGTGCCACCTCAGAAAATGTGTCTGGGAGTTGACCCATATCCTGCCATTGAAGTTCACCTCAGTGGAAGTTCCGTTTGAAAACCGTGACAGGATGTATCCTGCAGTTGTGTGCACATGGCTTCTGGCAGCTTCCTCTAGACAAGAACAGGTTTTGTTATGGTGTAGAGAGTCCTGCTGTTCAGAATTCATATGAACTAGGACCTTGTGGTAAAATGCAATATGAATATGAAGCCACGTTACAAGCATTGGTTGGGGGCCTTTGGTGTCTTTCTCTGCAAGTCTGAGTGTTTCTCTTCTGTCTTTGGCCCTCAGGCCGTCCCACTGCCCTCTCTCATCTATCTAGCTCTTGTGTACTGACTCATTCTCTCGCTCTCACTCACCCTTGCTCTCTTGTTCTTCCATTATCGATGAGATCATTATGATCTGGAGCCAAGAGAAGTACATTCCTGTAACTTTAAATCTCTATACTCGTGACTCTCCTTTTTTTTAGATGGTTATACTTTATAGTTGGAGGACAGCTTGCTTAACCGTGTGCTATTTTAGAATATAGATAGGAGCTTACCGGAGGAATTTTGTCAATCTGTAAACAGGATTTAGTGTTTCCCCACTTCTTATTTGCATTTATTTCAAATTGATAATTGCTCTTAAGTTCATTGTGGGATATTGAAAATATTCTGAACTCAATTAGGCTATGAGCTACTTGATTAGATTTTTTTTGTGCCTGATGCTTTGAACATCCAACTCCCCTGTTATGTTTGGGAAAGCAGTGTGAGTACTGGGAGGACAGAGTCTAGGCTAGGCTCCTTCTTTCAAGATAGCACAATGATATGCAGGATGCTTTGAAACGAGTTTTCTTTCGTTCTTTTTTTTTTTTTTAAAGGATTATTTATTTATTTCATTCTATTTGTTGTTATTATTTTTTAATTTCATCAGCGAGTGACAAAGAGAAAGGGAAAGCAAGAAAGCAAGCCACCAGGTTTGGGACTCGAACCGTGGTCAGCCATGTAGAAATCCAGTACCCTTAACCACCACACTACCTACTGGCCCCAAAACAGGAGTTTTCTAATACTAGCTCTGTTAGCAGGACACATTGGGCCCATGGTGGTGGCACATACTGCTAAGATACTGCACTTCATAGGCTGTAACCACATGATAGGGCCGAGGTTCTATTCCCTGTCCAACCCAAAGGCTGGGTGCAGTGGCATGTGTCTGTGCTCACAGTGATTTGGGGAGGCTGAGGCAGGAAGAACACACCATGGTGAGATACTGTCTTTTTTTTTTAAAGAATTATTTTATTTAACTTTATTTATTTATTTATTTTAATTTGACCAGAGAGGGACAGAGAGAGAGGGAAAGTGAGAAAGCGAACTGCCAGGTCTGGGACTCAAAGCGCAGTCAACCATGTGGGAGTCCAGTGCCCTTAAACACCACACCACCTATCAGACCCCAAAATTATTTTATTTAACTTTATTTATTTATTTAAATTTGACCAGAGAAAGACAGAGAAAGTGAGAAAGCAAGCTACCAGGGACCAGCAGTTGGCGTAATGGCTATGTCGCTGGAGTCAACTGCAGTTCAAGTCCTGGATCCAATGGCTTAAACTCACATTGGGCGCGTGTGTGTGCATGCCCAAGATCCCAAGAGGAGAATGGAAGAGAAGGGATTGTGGCGTGGCCATCCCCTTGGATTGTGGTGTGGCCATCCCCTTGGGGGGGTGATTTTTTACTTTCTGTCTCTGTGTCTTTCTGGTGAGCACATGTGCCCTATAGCTCTGGACACAAAGTACCTATTTAGTGAAAGAAAGAAACAACGAACAAAGAAACAAAAACTGAGAAAGGAGTGATAGAATAAAATTCTGAAGCTAGAAGAAACCCCAGAAGGCCTTGAAAGAAAATAATTACACCTATATCCCAGTAATTGAATAGACGCTCAGAAAGGCAGTCATCTCCTTTCTGGGCTGCCCCTTGATACCTCTGACGTGGAAGAGTTGGACTGCATCAGTCATCTCTGCCCGGGTCCCTGAGAAACACTAGAGGAGCTTAAAGATAATCAATGTCTAGGCCCTGCAATTGCTTTGGTTTGGGGCCTGGGAACCAGCATTTAAAATGGCTCCCCCACCCCCACCCCCATGCATTCTACTTTGCTGCTAGCATGGAGAAATAGTGCATTCAATGAACACTGAGCTTCATGTGATAATGAACTCACATTTTATTGTCTTTCTGATTTTTTTTTAAGTTTAAATATTTTTTAAATAATTATTTCATTTAACTTTATTTATTTTATTTTGACCATAGAGGGGCAGAATGAGTGAGAGAGAGAGTGAGAAAGCAAGCTACCAGGTCCGGGACTTGAACTGTTGTTGGCCATGTGAGAGTTCAACGTCCCTAACTGCCACACCACCTGCCAGCCCCTAAATAATTATTTATATAGAGAACATTTAAAATCAAAGTTTGCAGTATTTTCAGTCCTGGTCCCTGAGTTTTCCAGGAGATGTCTTTATCATCTCTTAAATTTCTTCCTTGTGAATCTTTAAGCTTACACTCTCGTTTGCCTTCTGCTCATCTTCCAAACATGTTTAAATTTCCTTGCTCCCTTAACAAAACAATGAAAACCCTGTCCTCAGAATTGCTGCTTAGTCTTCAAACTCTGTCCCCCATCCCTATTTTCCTTCCTCACATCATTTTTAAAAAGAACTATTTATGTTTGCATTCACATGCTTATCTTCTAACTCAGCCCAATGAAATATGAATTTGGACATTACTGCTAACAAAATTTTTCTTTAAAGATCTAGCAAGTTCTAGCTTGTGAACCATACTGTGTCTTCTTAGCCATAATGCCACTTATCCCTACAGTTTCTAACTCTGTGATATTGATGATATTTTTTTCTTTTCTCTTTTATTTATTTATTTTCCAGTTTATTTCTTCCATGATTGAGAAAGTCAGAGAGGGAGATACAGAAGGATAATACCCTCAACTTAGTCTTGATACTGCATTCCAGCCCCAGCTGCAGCACACACATGCCTGGTGTACTCAGGGAGGTCTCTGGACACAAACCCCGAATCTTCTCATGGGTCAGCCCCACGGATTGTGGCATGTTACCGGTGTACCACCATCTGCTCCTCCCTCCCCAATCCCCTGCTAATCTTTCTTTCTTTCTTTTTGAGAGGTTTTTGCTATAGGGCGCATATGCTTGCCAGAACGACAGAGAGAGACAGAGAGACAGAAAGTGAGAAATCAACCACCAGGGGGTATGGCCACGCCACCATCCCTTCTCCTCCATTCTCCTCTCTGGATCTTGGGCATGCATGCATATGCACCTGGCATGAGTTTAAGCCACCGGGTCTGGGACTCGAACTATGGTTGACTACATGGAAATCCAGTGACATAGCCATTAAGCCAGCTGCTGGCTTTTTCTTAAAGTTTTTTTTTTTTTAGTTTTGCCTTTTATGTCATGGTAATGTCATAGGTTTTGTCTTTCTTAACCATCCCACCTCACTTGGCAAGTGGGCAAGTATCATATATTTGGGCACATATGTAATTTCTTTGTCCATTTACATTCATTCATTCATTCCTTCAACAAATATTTATTGACAACAAAGTGCTAGTTATTTGTTGCTGAGTTATAAATTACTGCAAACATAATGGCTTAAAACACATTTATTGGGACTAGCAGTTGGCGTAATGGCTATATGGCTGGACTCTTGTGTAGTTGACCGCGGTTTGAGTCCTAGACCCAGTGGCTTAAACTCACGCCGGGCGCATGTGCGTGTGTGGTCAAGATCCCGAGAGGAGAATGGAAGAGAAGGGATTGTGGTGTGGCCATCCCTCCTGGGCGGGATGATTTTTCGCTTTTTATCTCTCTGTCTCTGTCTTTCTGGCAAACACACGCGCCGTATAGCAAAAACCTCTCCAAAAGAAAAAAGCCCACACATTTATTGTCTCACAGTCTTCACGGACAGGAGTATGAACACAGCTTAGCTCCACCTTCTGCTTTAGGGTCACTCATCAGGCTGCAGAGTCAGTGTCAGCCAGGGCTGGAGTTGCATCTGAAGGCTCGAGTGGGGTAGAACTCATTTCCAAGCTCCATATTTCTAATATGTAAGCAGTATTGAAAAATCTCTGCTTTTAGAAAGACAGTTGAAGAAATCAAGTCTCTGGGAGAGTGAGGATGAGAAAATGTTAAACATTTACGAATAAGGAGAATTTAAAAGTGGACTGAAAGCTAGATTTTTAAAAAGTATCCATAATCTTCAAAAGTATATAACATAACTGAATAATCAAAATGATTTCTAGGTGGATATTTGGTAAAAATGGGGGAAATATGTTCTTGTGATAATGAAGGGAATCAGAAATGGAAAATATAATTAAAATGCCATCTCTCAAACTCCAGTAATTTGATTTTCATGCACATGAAGTGAGTAATAAAAAGCAATAGAGAACTACCTGGAATTTCCATTTGTGTTTAGCATTATAAGTTTTTCTTTGTGTTTAGCATTACAGCTTGTATGTGGTGTGTGTGTGTGTGTGTGTGTGTGTGTGTGTGTGTGTGTGTGTAAGGTGTACCTTCCTTGCAAACTATTCTGATTTCTTCCTTTATTTTCTAGGAATATTTTGAAAACAGTGGCTCTGGGTCAGATGTTGTCCTTGTGTATATGTGGGACAGCCATCACTAGCCAGTATTTGGCAGAAAAATACCAAGTGAATACCCCCATGCTTCAGAGCTTTATCAACTATTGCTTGCTGTTCCTAATTTATACAGTGATGCTGGCCTTTCAATCAGGTATGTCAAGTACAGGTATTTCCTCCTCAGCAAAATTATCTTCATACTTTTTTTTTTTTTTTTTTGCTTCTGAACATTTAAAAAATAAAACACAAGGCAAAACCAAGAAAAGGAAAATGATAGTATCTTTTTTTAAGGATTTATTTTATTTTATTTGTTATTACTATTTATCTTTTAATTTGACCAGAGAGAGACAGAGAGAGAGAAAGAAAGCCACCAGGTTCAGGACTCAAACCACTTCAGCCATGTAGGAGTCCAGCGCCTTAACCACCATGCCACCTGCCAGTACCCAGTGATAGCTATCTTTTTAAAAATTAGAAAATTGGGATTGACAGGTGATGTGGTGGTTAAGATGCTGGACTCCCACATTGCCAACTGAGGTTCGAGTCCTAGGTCTGGTGGCTTACTTTCTCACTTTCTCTCTGCCTCTCTGTCTCTCCTGGTGAGCAATGTGCCTGACAGCAAAGTAAAAATAATAGCATTAATAAAGTTAAAGAAATAATTCTTTTAATAAAAATTATTAGAAAACTGTACCACCTCAGGCTAGCCAGTGGCATGATGGTTGAGATGGCCAGATCCCACATGACTAACTCCATGGTTCAAGTCCCAGATTCGGTGGCTTGAAAGACATGGTGGGCACATGTATGTATGTTCCCAGGATCCCAAAATGAAGCAGAAATGAAAGAGAAGAGATTGCAGCCTGACCATCCCCCAGAGGAAAGTGCTTTCTCACCTTCCCTCTCTCTGGAGAAACACATGCACCCTCTTTCAAGTTAAAAAAAAAAAGGAAAAAAATAATTATGCCATTTCTAAATTCTATGAAACTGAATTTGTTGAGTAAGTTAAGTAGCACCAAACTGTTTATAACAGAGTAGAAGTTATTTTTAAATGTGCTAAATGTCATTACAAGTTAGGTTTTTTTTTTCTCTCTGACAAAATTAAGAGACAATATTAAAAATACTTGAAAAACAAGAATATCACTCGATGTGTTTCCAACTTCATGGAGAATGCTAAATGGAACATTGGTTGCGTATGGATTGAGTCTGTGGGACCAGCTGGTGGTGGGATGGTTAAGGTGGCTGGAAACCACATAGCTGACTGTGTGGTTCATGTCCCAGACCTAGCAGCTTAAAAAACACGCTGGGTGCATGTGTGCTTGTGCTCAAAAAGCCCAAGAGGAGAATGGAGAAGGGATTGTGACATGGCTGTCCCCCCTGGGGCATGCTTTTCACTCTCTCTGTCTCCCACCTTGGCAGGCAGGTGTTTGTGCCCTATAGCAAATTAATAAAACAGAACAAAACAAAACAAAAAGTATATGTTTTGGGAGAAATAAAGACAGAAAATTGGTAAGGAATTAACATCTAGATCACTGTCCGTCTAAGCTATTTAGAACCATTATAGAATTGTTATTTCTAGCTTACCACACAAAAATGGGAAAATGTAGGTGCTAGCATTTTTGTGCCAGGCATCCTTGTTTTTCTAAAATTGTTTGTTATGTGTTGTCAGAAGCGATGACACCCAAGCTCACATCCAGACCTGATGTTTGTTAAAGCAAAGAAAGGAATTTAAGCACTTCTACTTTTTCTCTTGTGCTTTCATTGAATACTTGGTCTGTGATGATGCTGAGGTTTCTTTCTTCCCTTTTTTAAAAAAATTTTTTTCAAGAATTATCTTATTTAACTTTATTTATTTAATTTGACCAGAGAGAGAGAGAGAGAGAGAGAGAGAGAAGGGGAAAGTGAGAAAGCAAGCCACCAGGTCCAGGACTCAGACCACGGCAGCCATGTGGGAGTTCAGTGCCCTTAACAACCATGCCACCTGCCAGCTCTGATGCCAGGGTTTTATACTTAGAAAAAATCTGACTGCTGAGTTGTTGCAGGAGTTTGGGTTATGAATTATGGAATCAGCAGTGGCCATACTTGAAATACACAATAAACCTTTGCTTTGACTCTTTCATTTCCCAATTAATATACATGTATCATTATCAACTAACATGCGCTCAACCTGGATTTCTTTCTACTAGGCAGTGATAATCTTCTAAATATCTTGAAAAGAAAGTGGTGGAAGTACATCCTGCTGGGCCTGGCAGACGTAGAAGCTAACTACCTGATTGTCAGAGCATACCAGTACACGACTCTGACCAGTGTCCAGGTAAGAGGAGCCTCTGACCAACCTCAGGAGGAGCACATGAATGCATATGTGTTAATCTAATTTTATTGAAAACCTTTTCCCTCGAAGAAAACCTAAACACAGGTTGATGATATCTGTTTTCCAGTGGAGCATATGCTCTAATGAGTAATGTTTCCTAGAATTAGTGAAAATGTATACAAATTAATGAGTTCCTAAACTGCTAATGTTATAGCAGATTAGAAAAGCTCCTGCCAAAATGAGCATAAATATTTAGTTGGCAGTTGATACTGTGATGTTGACAAGGGTTCTGTTTTATGTGTGGCTCCAACATGGCATATGAAAGATGTATCAGGCTGGCCCACAGTCTAGTGGAATGCAGGTCATATGAGGCCAGTGGTGGTTTGAGTTCCAGTCCCAGTGGCTTGAAGAACACACCAGGTGCATGTGTGTGCGTGCCCCAAATCCTGACAGGATGGGAAAATGGAGGAGAAGGGACTGTGGTATGATCATGCCCCACTGAGGAGTGGTTTTTCCCTCTTTCAGTTTCTCTCTCTTTGTCTCTCTCTGCTAAGTGCATGCCCCCTCTGGCATTTTAAAAAAGAAATAAAGATAAAAAATAAAAGTGCATGTACCTTTGCACTCAAAAAAAAAAAAAAAAAAAGGGAGATTTGCAAGCAAAGTAGATAATTCATGACCAAGAAACCATTGGAAGGAACCTATTAGACATTTTGGGGAGAGGTGATAACCAAAGGTAAACCGCTCATCCCTGTTTCTTTTTTTATTTAATTTTAATTTTTAATTAATTAATTAATTTTATATTCATTTACTGAGCATCGTCACAGCATACAAAATGTGATTTCCCATCCAGAATATACTGCATAGTGGCTTAATCATACTTGTTATCATTGATAATTTTCCATTTCTAGTTTCATATATATGTATATACATATATGTATATATATTTTTCCCCCTATTTATCACCCTCTGCCATTTCCCACCATCCTCCCCCACTGTCTCTGGTGTCTGCAGTTGTTTTCCATTTTTCCCCCCAACATTTTATTGATTCACAAAATATCTTAAATAGTCTACTTTCAATAGGTCAGCTGATATATACATATCTGTGAATACATGTCTGACTGTAGGTGTGAAACTCTTAAGTAGAATGAATATACTATAAAGTAGCACCTAGCTCATGCTATATAGCTTACTGTGGTCATTAAATAGGTATTTTTTTAATTTCAAGAAAACCGGTATTAACTTTAATAAATCAAAATCAAAGAAATGCTAAGAGAGCTTTGCTTAAAACTTAAAGCCAGGAAACAGGTTAGGATTCTGTTCACATAGTAGGTACATGAACCTATGGGCAGCTTAAGACAAAACAAAAATCCTTAAATCTGGAAAACAAAGCCTAGAAGAAAATCAGTAATGTTTTAGTCAAAAGTCATAAGATTCTATTTCACCAGTTCAGTCTCATGTACTTTATCTTCTGTCATTGTCCAATCTTCCTGATTCAGTTCTGGGATATAATATTCAATTCCAGACTTGTCCTTACCATTAAGTTGGCCATTTTCTACGTTCTTTTTGAACTCTCACTTCTGTGTGTCTGTATTTAGTTCTCCTGGTATAGCACTCCCTTCAGAACTTCTTGGAGAGGGGACCAGCAGTTAGCGTAATGGCTATGTTGCTGGACTCCCATGTAGACGACCGTGGTTCGTGTCCGGACCCAGAGGCTTAAAATTCACGCCGGGAGCGTGTGCGTGCGTGACCAAGATCCCGAGAGGAGAATGGAGGAGAAGCGGTTGCGGCGTGGCCATTCCCCCTGGGGGGTGATTTCTTGCTTTCTGTCTCTCTGTCTCTCTCTGTCTGGCGAGCGCACGTGCCCTAGAGCAAAAACCTCTCAAAAAAAAAAAAAAAAAAAAGAACTTCTCAGAGAGCTGGTCTGTGTTGGTAAATTCTTTCAGGTTTTGTTTATCTGAGAATGTTCTTGTCTTTTCTTCCAATATGAAGGATAATCTTGCCGGGTACAGTATTCTTGGTTGAAATTGCTTTTCCCCCCTCACACTTTGAATATATTTTTCTATTCTTTCCTTGCTCGCATTGTTTCTGATGAGAGGTCCATGTGAGCCTGATGGAATATCCTTTGTAGGGAACTTGATGTTTCTCTCTCTTGCCAATCTTAGTATCTTGTCTTTGTGGTTTTGGTCAATCTGGCTATAATGTGTCTTGGAGAAGATCTTCTTGGGTTGATTCTATTTGAGGTCCTTTGTATTTCTTGGGGCTGGATCTTTGAATGCCTCTCTAGGTTTGGAAAGTTTTCTTCCAGGATTTCATGGAATAGATTATCAATGTCCTTATTAGTCTCTTCACCTTCTGGGATACAAATTAACCAGATATTTGGATGTTTGATGGTATCTAGTATTTCTCGTATATTATTCTCATTTGGGGGGACATTTTTCTCAGTCTTCATGATAGATTTTTCTAGGCCAGTGATCCTGTCTTCTATATCTGAGATTCGATTTTCTGTATGGTCTAATCTGCTTTTAATACTTTCAGGGGAGGTTTTGGCTTCCTGTATTATAGCCTTCATCTCTAGTAGTTCTATGTGATTCTTTTTTATGGTGTGTATTTCCTCGTTCAGATCTTGCAAGAACTTCCTCATCTCCTGGAATTTGTCGGCTCCTTTCTCCTGCCTCTACTGCAGTTAATTGTTTCTCTTCTCTTCCATCTCTGTTAGCTTTGTCATTAGGAATATTCTAAATTCTTTATCTGACATTTCTGTGAGTTCCATTGTACTATCTGAGGATGAAGAGGAGTTATTCTTTTCCCTTGGAGGAGATGTATTTTCTTGCTTTCCCATATTTCTTGTTATCCTGCAGTGATTTCTGGTCATCTGATGGATGGTGTGTTTCTTCCTATATCTTTAAGTTCAATCTCAGCATTCAGAGGTGTGCAGGAAGAGGTGATCTGCAATCTTTCTTCCATTCCATTTTTTACTCTTTGTGCATCAGATTCAGTAGGAATTAAGGAATATTCTGACCCTAATCATATTCAGATGTTTGGATACTGTTCACTTTGACCTTTCTAGACACTCAGCACATGGAGGCAGAGCACCAAGGAATGAAGTTAAAGGAACAATGAAAAGAATTAGAGAAGGGTAAAGAAGAAGGAAAAAAAAAAATAAAAAATTTTATATTTTAATTTTATAAAGCATGCGTGCCACACAAAAACAATATTTCGTAGCTCAAGTTCAGTAGCCATCTCAGGATGGGCCTGGGTTTGTGCCTTTCCTAAATGGAAGGGGGAAAGGCACAAATTAGCATGATAAAGGAGGGGCTTGGGAGCTCAGAGAATACTTTAACTTAAAAAAATTTTCTTTTTTAAATTAAAAGAGAGAAACACAAAGGAGCAGAAAGAAACAGAAAGATGGAGAGAGGGATACAGAGGTAGCCCTATCCACTAATAATGAATCTGGAGGGGGATGTCTCAGCAGAAGATCTTCATTTTTAGTCCCTGAAAGCAATATTTCACAGCTCAACTTCAGTAGCCATCTCAGGATGGGCCTTTTTCCCTATTTCTTTATTAGGTTTATTTGCAGTAGGTGAAAAGAATAATGTTGCTACACTGCAATACTTTTAAACCTAGTGGACTTGAAGAAGACTAATTCAGTTGTCTTGATGTTAGCAAGCTGTGGGATGTATCGCAGCACTGACTCACCATTACTAACAACAAAATGTTTCATAAACAGAGGTGAAAGTGAGATTGATGCCAGTGTCAAGTTTAGACTTCACAGTTTAGTGAATTTATAACTTTTATGTATCATTTTTCTCACTGTGTAAAACACAGAGATATTTGATCTCCAAATGTTAAAAAGTGTGTAAAAAATAAAGTGAAATTATTTTACTTGAAAATTATATGGAGGATTGATGAAAACTCAGTACTTTCCAATGTGAACACTTATTAAATATAAACCAGAATGCATTTTGTAACTATTTTCTTTTCCGTATTGTTGCACTAAGCATTGTCTTCACTCAATCTCTTATTTTTTGATTGCCGTGAGTTAAAAAACTGAGATAACAAAATATTTGGGCCAGCCTGTAGCCTAATGATTGGGGAAGCTGGATCCCACAAGGCTGACCATGGTTCAGTTCCAGCCCCAGTGGCTGGGCACATGTGTATGCATGCCCAACATTCTGACAGGATGGAGAAATGAAGGAAAGGGATCGCAACATGGCCATGCTCCATTGGGGATGCTCTCACCTTCTCTCCCTTTCCATCTCTCTGTTTCTGTCTCTCTATCTCTCTCCGAAGTCACATGACCTCTGGTCATTGAAAACCAAATAGAGGAGCCAGCAGGTAATGTAGTGCTTAAAGTATTGGACTCCCACATGACTGGCCGCGGTTCAGGTCCCAGACCTGAAGGCTTGAAACTCACACAGGGTGTGTGTGTGGCCATCTTCCCTGGGGGTTGTGTGTTAATTTCTCTCTCTCTGTCTCTCTGGTGAGTGCACAAGCCCTATAGCAAAAATTTCTCTAAAAAAAATAGAAATAATTTGTTAAGATATATATCTGAGAAGCACACAAAGAACTCAGAATTTCATAAAAATTAAAACTAGGTGTTACCTAGAAAATGAAGTTTATCACAAATATGAATTAGGTATACTTTTAGCATTCAGGATAATCAAGGTATAAATATTTAGAAAATGGCATTTGCTAGTAACTTCTACTCTCATAATCTCACATTTGTTTTAATTACTTTTTTACAATTTCCAGAAATTTTTATCTCTGACTAATAATGATTACAGGTTTTGAATTGGTACAAGGTCTAAACACAGCTAAACAAAACACTTAGACTTGAATTTTGTGACTGAAGGTCATACCTTGTGCTATCAAAATAATTCCTTTCATTCTAATTTCATTCTAATAATAATTTCTTTCATTCTAAGCATTTTATTGTCAAAAGTCATGTGCTTGGCCCAGCAAGTGACATGTTGGTTAAGATACTGGGTTCCCACATGGTCAATTGCAGTTCGAGTCCCAGACCCAGTGACTTGAAAATTTCAACAAATAAATAGATGAATAAGTAAGTGTTTTTTATTTTTATTTTTTTCGAAGAGGTTTTTGCCTTAGAACATGTCCACTCACTGGAAAGAGAGAGAGAGAGACAGTGAGAGGGAAAGTGAGAGATGGCCATGCTGTCGTCCCTTCTCCTCCAGTCCCCTCCTGAGATCTTGGGTATGCACACGCACACACACACACACACACACACACACACACTTGGAGTGAGTTTGAAACCACCAGGTCTCGTACTTGAATCATGGGCGACCATGTGGGAGTCCAGTGATATAACCACTATGCCATCTGCTGGCCCCAATAAGTGTTTTTTTGTTTGTTTGTTTGTTTTTAAAGTCATGCTCCAAGCAAGGAATGTGTTATAAAAAGGACATCTAACAATGAAAGCTTTCTCTAGCAGCAGAGACAACTGTCATTGGAATTATTCAAGCTGATTATCTGACCTGGGTAATATGAAAGGGTAGTAGCTTGTATTAGATCATTTTCTTTTTTCTTTTTTTTGGAGAGATTTTCACTATAGGGCGCGTGCGCTAGCCAGACAGACAGAGAGAGACATAGAGACAGAAAGCGAGAAATCACCCCCCAGGGGGGATGGTCACGCCGCAATCCCTTCTCCTCCATTCTCCTCTCGGGATCTTGGACACGCACGCACATGCGCCCGGCATGGGTTTTAAGCCACCGGGTCCGGGACATGAACCACCGTTGACTGCATGGGAGTCCAGCGACATAGCCATTACGCTAACTGCTGGTTCCCTGTATTAGATCATTTTCTAACTTCTTTTTTTCTTTTCTTTTTTTTTTCTTTCCTTTTTTTCCCTTTAATTTCTAGAGGGCATATATGCTTGCCAGAGGGAGAAAACCCTTCATGGGGCATGGTCACATTGTAATTCCTGCTCCATTCATCCTTCCCACCAGGGTTTTGAGCACACTTGTATCGGATTGTTGGAAAAGTCATGACACATTTTTACATAGAACAATAGGTCATGACTTCTCGGATAACCCTGTACATGTACCCAGTATGTTTTTCAAACCCATGGGGCCAGGATTCAAATAGCGGTCAACCCTGTGGGATCCACCTCCCTGTACATAGTATGTAACCACTGTGCGGTAGGACTGACTCCATATGATGCTTTTTGAAGATGAAATGATTTTGTTAGAACTGAAATCTTCAAAGAGAAGGCATCCACCACCAAACATGCATTTTGAAAAGGAAGTTCCAGTCCAAGATAAATGACAATAGGTGATAGATAAGAAATTGTGGCATTTTAGATTGGATGGGGGAACCTGTGAGCTTTTTTGGTCTGATCTCTTGTCTTGCATTTCGACTCAGGGAGTGACTGACTGGAGATCACACAGCTTGCCGGCAGGCCTGAGGTAGCACTTCCCAGAGATAGGCAGCTCCATTATAGGGCCACACATTGTCCGCCCCAAATTGTTAAAGATGAAGCAAATTCAAGTTTGATTTTTAAGACACGATTGAAAATAGGGAGTGTTCTATGATGGATTTTAGAGTGTTTTTTTCCTTTTTTTGTTTAAGGAATGTAGTGTAGGCTTTGTTAAGCTGTTGTGGCTGGGTTCTGCTGGGGTCTTCTGGGACAGGCCATTATCATTTGCATCATTTAATGGTTTGTTATTCAGGCAGGCTCAATAAAGCACTTAGGAGATTAGAGTTCTGCAGCTGGAATAAATAACAGGCAAGGCGCCCATTCCTACACGTGATGTGTTGGACTTCAGTGATATTTCAGTGAAAAGCAGTCAGTAGACAATTGTGGACAGGATCAAATGAGCCCCAAGAGATTTAGAGGCCTGTCCTGTCCAAGATAAAACAGATCCAGAGAGAATCAGAAACAAGGTTAAAAAGAACAAAACAAGGTGGGCAGCAAAACAACATACTTGGGTTTGTTATTAGTAAAAGGGATGCATTTTATCCTTGCATACACACAAAATTTGTAGATGTATCAAGAATAATCTTTGAATATATTTTACTCTTTAATTTACATACAGTTTGTGACTTAAGAATCGAATGAGTAAAATCTCTGTTATTCCTTTATTTTACAAATGATTTTGGATTTGCTATTATTTTGGCATCCTTAATCCTCCTGCCTTTTAGATAGGCAATATCTGGGTACAGCAAGTATCTTCTTGACACAGGACCAACCGGTGATAGAGAAGTATACAATGAAGACAATCAGGAGTATTTGTTTCAAGCAAGCATGTGTCTAACATGGTGACATATGAGTGGGTCTAGACACTGTGTCAGGGAGGTGGTGTCTGCTTGCTTTTTCATGGTAACCTTGCTTTGTAGCACTGATTAGCTCAGTTGCAATTAAATATATGGTTGTATGATATTTTTTAAAAGAATTATTTATTTAATTTTATGTATTCATTCAATCATTTTCATTTGACCAGAGAAGGACACATAGAGAGAAGGAAAGTGAGAAAGCAAGCCACCAGGTCCAAGACTCGAACCGTGGTTGGCCATGTGCGAATGTCCAGCACCTTAACCACCACGCCACCTGCTGACCCCTGATTTTTTTCCCCATATTTTTCTAGGCTTGTAAGTGCTCCTGAGAGCATACATGTCATCCACCTCTGTATTCCAAGCTCCTCACACAGTGTCTTGCACATGTGAGGTGCTCAGTAAATTATTTGTTGACTGAATAAATGGATGCATGCAGGAGGAAAAGTTAGCCTACTGGACTCAAAAATAAATACAGGAGGGAGTATAGAAGTAAATTGCACAAGCTCTTGGGCAAGTTCTTAAGTGCAACAACTGGCTCTCCTATGTATATGTATATATTTAGATTTTTTCTCTCTCATGGAGGGGGATCTTCGACTGGGTCTTACCACACTATAGTCCTCACCTACCGACCCCCAAGCCCTCCAACCAGCAAGGATCACAGGTGTGTCCACAGCTGCACTGGCATTGTTCAAGTTGACCTGGGATCTGAACCTTGGGCCTTCCTATATGGCTTGAGCATTGTGCAGTGGTGTTTCACTGCTTGGGCCCGGTGACTGGGCAATCTCCTTTTTATTTACTTTTTAATTTTTTTCATACGGTATGTATTCTCATCAGACAGGGAAAGTGAGAAATCACCCCCTGGGGGGATGGCCATGCCCATACCACAATGCCTTCTCTATTCTTCTCTAGGATTTTGGGCATGCACCTATACGGGCCCAGTATGATTTTCAAGCGGCTGGATTTGGGAATCAAACTGTGGTTGCCATGTTGGAGTCCAGTGCTTTAACCACCATGCCACCTGCTGGCCTCTCCCATTTTTAACTGTGTGATTTTGGACAGAACATTTCACCTCTTCATTTTTTTCCTGTATAAAACAGGATTGTATTGCCAATGTGTGGAGTTGTTGTAAAGATTAAATGAGTCATTCTAGGTAAAGCACTTGGTACAGCACTGGCAATAACAGGATAAATGCTCAGCGAATGCGGCTCCTGTTGTACTTAACTACCCGTCTTTTAGCTAGTGAGAGATGTTTTCAACCATTTCTCCTTCCATGCAGCTTTTGGATTGCTTTGGGATTCCTGTGTTGATGGCTCTTTCGTGGTTTATTCTTTATGCAAGATATAGAGTGATCCACTTCATCGCTGTGTCTGTCTGTCTTTTGGGTGTTGGAACCATGGTTGGCGCGGACATATTAGCAGGAAGGGAAGACAGTTCAGGTAAGACTCTGTTGCTTGTTGCTTGTTTCTGGTTAAGTCATTCAAGCATTTTGCTCTGTTTTCACTTATATTTTGCAAAGATGTAATACAAGCGGAAAACATGCCCTGACTAACTGCACTTACAATGTTATGTTCAGATTTACTTGCTTCTGATATTTTGTAGCTACTTCCTACTTCTGCAAGACAATGTTCATGCTCCTACATGCTCACAGCCCCCTCTCAATAGTTTTATTTTGTCTCAGGAGAGAGCCATTTCTTTATATACCCATAGTACAACAATCTCCTTTTGGCCATACACTTAGAGTAGTTATTGGAAAAACCTACTAGATCATTCTTGGCTGTTTTGTTTTTACCAGAAAGGACACTTGGTGCTCACTGGGTGACCATTTTCTAAGTCACTCTGCTGGATGAGAACACTTTGCTGTACTTTGGGTCAACTTCACATAATTTATTTTTTAAAGAAGTTTTTGCTTTAGGGCACTTGCACTTTCATGGAGAGAAAGAGAGACAGACACAGTAAGAGGGAACATGAGAAATTACCCCCCAGAGGGGATGGCCACGCTGGCAATCCCTTCTCCTCTGTTCTCCTTCCAGGATCCTGGGCACACACGCACGTGCACCCAGAGTGATTTTGAAGCCTCTGGGTCTCAGACTCCCACCACAGTTGGCCATGTGGAAGTCCAACAACGTAACCGCTATGCCATCTGCTGGTTCCAAGTTCACAAAATTGATGGCATATAGAAATCTAAGTCCTGCAGAATTCACCCAGTCTACAAGTGAATTCATTGTCTTCTTCAATAAAGAGTGAAAATTATTTTGAAAACAGGTTTTATCCTTATAGTTTTCCAACTCTCCTGACCCTTCAGTAAATCCCATTAATTTTGTCATGTTACAGGATCAATTTATGAAAAATTGGATTTATGTTAGAAAGTGAGAAGAGTAAGAAACTTTAAACATCTAGAAACCAGGGTTTCTCCTTCAGTAAAATCTTATTTAAGTGAACACAAGTCAGCTGAACTCCTGTAGGCAAGTTGTAGAGGTTCACTGTTTTGTTTTGGTTTTTTTTTTTTTGAGAGGTTTTTGCTATAGGGCGTGTGCACTCACCAGAAAGACAGAGAGCAACAGAGAGACAGAAAGCGAGAAATCACCCCCTTGGGGAGGATGGCCATACCGCAATCTCTTCTCCTCCATTCTCCTCTTGGGATCCTGGGCACACACGCACATGCGCCCAGCGTGAGTTTAAGCTACTGGGTCCAGGACTCAAACCGCAATAGACTACATGGGAGTCCAGCGACATAGCCATTACACTAACTGCTGGTCCCAAGGTTCACCTATTGACAGCATATTCTTCCTTGTGACTTGTCTTCCTCCAGGGAGCCAAGTACTGATCGGAGACATCTTGGTCCTTCTTGGGGCATCTCTCTATGCCGTTTCTAATGTTTGCGAAGAATACATCGTGAAGAAGCTGAGCAGACAGGAGTTTTTAGGAATGGTGGGCTTATTCGGAACCATTATCAGTGGCATACAACTGTAAGATTCTAAAATTTTTCTTAAAATCTAAGTAAGCAACTATATCAGAGGATTATTATTATTATTGCTTTGTTATAGGGCAGGTGTGCTTGTTGAAGAGAGAAAAAGAGCAAGAGAGGGAAAGTGAGAAAGCATCCCCCACCCCAGGGAGATAGTCACACTGCAGTCCCCTTTCCTCCATTCTTCTTTTGGGATTTTGGGCATGCAGGCACCTACCCTAGCATGTTTTCCCAGCCACCAGTGCAGTACTCTAACTGCACGGTCGGGCATGTGGTATCCATCTGACTTAAACAGCACACCCCTGGATGGGCCTCAGAGGATTTTCTTCTAACTACTGATATTCATTACTTACTTGGCCCAGATTCACATCTGACATCAGTAACTTGCTAAATGTCTGCTAGCAGATTGTTAAAACATCATGAATGATGCCTTCTTTTCTCATACATGTGTGATGCTCAGGATTTCTGATCACAGTGGGATAGTGACATTACCAGTAAGGGCTTTTCATTTACTTTCAGAAATGATGAACTTCCTTTGTTTATTTTTAAAGAATTTTAAAAACTTAATTTGTCATTATTATTATTTTCTTAATTTGCTACAGGGCATGTGTGCTCACCAGACAGAGAGAGAGAGAGAGAAAGAAAGCTGCCAGCCAGGTCCAGGACTTCAACCGCACTTGGCCATGTGGGAGTCCAGCGCCCTAGCCACCATGCCATCTGCTGGCCCCTGGAAATGATGAACTTCCTAACCTATTCAAAGGGAAAGCAAAATGTCAGGTTTTCCTCCTCTAGCTGGCTACTATGGAAGAGCACTCGAGAGGGAGCTGAACATACTTTTGGGAATTCCTCAGGTTTTATTATCTGTCATTTTTATTAAAGATAGGTATGTTTTATAATATAATCTAAGAAAAATTTTAAAGCCAGCATTATTCTTTATCTTAGCTAAGTATAACAACAAAAATGTTTACATGGTAGTGAAAACTAGCATATGGATCTCCCTGTGACCTCTTTTTTAAATCTTAGATTGATCGTGGAATATAAAGACATTGCCAGCATTCATTGGGACTGGAAAATAGGTATGTAAGCCAGTGATCATTCTTTCTAGCCAGTGTTCTCTCCTTTAATTGAAAAAAAAGTATCCCAATACATCTATTCTTCATTTTAGTAATAGACATCTTCATAAAAGCTCAGAGTAACTTAATATACACTAGCTGTAGTGGTTTACACTGAGTTTTCTCTGGAAATTGGTAGACACACCTCCATAGAAGTTCATTCTTAATCTTCACCTACAGGAATAGCCTCTCTTTATGAGGAATTCTGAATAAGACGGAAGACCAACCTTCAGTCACACTAATTTTCAATTAGATCTGTATCTAGTGTCCTCCCGCTTCTTGTGAGGAGAGGTTGTCTTCTGCTCCATGGGATTTGTGGAACATTAACCCCCATCATCTAATTATGTGTAATCACCCGCCACCCCATTGCTCCTCTCCTGATCTTCCTAAATATCTGCACAAATAAATAGAGCAGAAGAAAATGGTGATGGGACAGTTGGGAAAGAACTTGAATGTTATGTGATGATGGGCGGACAGATGTTAAATAGCACATAAATTTCACTGAAGGTTGTGTACCATGCTGGGATAATTTAATCGTATTAAATAACTTATGTCGACAGAAAGAGTATATGAGTGAATATGTGTGCGGGTGTGTGTTGGGAATGGGACTAGACTGAAGAAGTGGTTGCAACGCAGCGATACTGCCAATATAGGCCACATCCACATGACTCGCACTGTTCTAAAGAGGATAGTTATTTTATGTTATCTTGGAGCATTTAATTTAATGAGATGAACAAAATACAATGAACCTAATAGCTGTCTGGGATGCCCTAAAAATAGTTTATTTGGAATCCAAATAGACAAATCATATCCAACCAAACAAAGGCCAAAATTAATGAGTGACTTTTTTTCATACGTGATATTGATTCTGCTTTTCCAGACCTTTCATGACAGGTGTCCCTCTCCCGTGAGGGAGATGGATAGCATGGGGTGATAAAAGTGAGTGAGTTATACCATATGTAAGAGTATATGGCCTGTGATCATCCAGCAGCCTGTTGGAATTTTGAGTTCGTTCGTCTGTATCACAACTTGTTTTTACTACTGTTTCTCTTGAGAGTTCAGTGGTCTCATTTGTGGTGTTGACTGTCAACATGAGGCTTTGTTAATAGTAAGGATTAGGGAGTTGTATATGGCAGCCAAGCCTTAATTGTCTTGTCTTCTGATTTCTTTTCATAATATTAGCTATTCCATTTTCTCCACAGCTCTGCTGTTTGTGGCATTTGCCCTCTGTATGTTTTGCCTGTACAGCTTTATGCCATTGGTGATTAAAGTCACCAGTGCCACTTCTGTCAACCTAGGCATCCTGACGGCTGACCTCTACAGTCTTTTCTTTGGACTCTTTCTATTTGGCTATAAGGTAAGCAAGTAGATTTTTTAAAATAGGAACACTTGCTTGGTCCAAAAGAGGTAGTAGGGTTTTGTTGTTATTGTTCTTAAAGAATTATTTATTTTAATTTGACCCGAGAGGGACAGAGTGAGAGAGAGCGAGAGAAAGTGAGAACACAAGCCACCAGATCTGGGCCTCGAACTGCAGTCTGCCATGTGGGAGTCCAGCACCCTTAACCACCATGCCACCTGCTGGTCCCTTGTTCTATTCTTTTTTAAAACTTTAGATCCAAAAGTAAAACCATCTTACCCTCTTGGGGCAAGAGTTTTACTGGAAGGACTTTACTCCTTTAGAACTGCTTCTGAATTAGCAAATTTTTCTAAATAAGAATCAACCTTCTAGGGTTTTTCTAAAGGGTGAGATACAGTAGATTTTATTTTTGATGATATGGCCCAGGACACTACTTTATGAAAATGTTAATGCATACTGCTAGGTGACCAGCAAGCAATCCTAGAGTTGCTGTTGACCTTGAGGGACAATCTAACTTAGACTGGACTTTTCTGTTCACTCTCTTTGCCTTGGTGAACAGGTAAAAGTTTGGAGTAGTGGATGGAGAGGAAGGAGTGATGGCCATATTATCATGCATTCATGATTGGTTATATCTTTGAAGTAATTTCTTTCATGACTGGTTACATTTTTAAAGTAATTTCATATCTGACAGGGACCTTAAAGGTCCTGAAGTCCAGTGGATTTTCAGACTTTTTCTGTTTCTACAGCATCAGGACATTCCCAAATGTAATCTTCTGTTACACATACTAATTCTCAAGGCCCATGGAGTGGGAGGAAATACATCAGTCTTCAGGGGAAGCGAGAAAATGAATATGTCATTTGGAAAAGTAACATCCACCAAGTCCGATACCTCTTGCCTTGAGGGTAACTAATTGAAGCATCTCGTTTTGGAGACGGGGAAATGAAGGGCCAGGGAGGTTCTGTGTAGTTCTGTGATTTACCTACCCGTGGTCAGTAGTTGGTTAACGGTAAAGTCAGTACTAAATCTTGGCTTCCAGTCTCCTCCTTCAGTCTTCTGTCAGGCCAGTGCAGTCCCCTTCCCCTTTCACTACTAAGATGAGATTCTCGCACTTAGGAATTCATCATGTTAAAGTTTCATACATTAGAGAGAACCAAATAAGAAGTTTTTGTTTATTTGTTTTTATGTCACAGCTGGTTTGAAGACTCCCAAGGAAGCAGCTCTCCTACTTTCTGATCTCAGAATTCTTTAATGCTTAAAAATTGAGGATTTTAGTCACTATAACAATACTTACAATATAAGAAGTTAAAAACTAAGAAAATTTTTAAAATACTGGTTAACTCATTAAGAAAACAGTAAATATGGAGTCAGCAGATGGCTTAATGGTTACGTCACTGAACTCTCACATGTCCTACCTCAGTTTGAGTCCTGGACCTTGAAGCTTGAAATCCGTGCTGGGTGCGTGTATGTGCATGACCAAAATTCTAAGGAGAATGGAGGAGAAGGGATTGCAGCATGGCCATGCCCCCTGGGGGAGTGATTTCTTGCCTTCTGCCTTTCTGTGTCTCTCAGTATCTCTGGTGAGCACATGTACACTTTAGCAAAAATCTCTTCCCCCCCCAAAAAAAGAAAAAGAAAATAATAAACATTATGTGATTACTTAAATAACATTTTAATGAAGAAACTGTATTTTTTAAATAAAAAAATAAGAAGAATGGTACTGATTTGCATTTTTAAAAATCTCTTCAAAATATGGGACATAATAGAAAACAACTAGATACTCCCATCTGCTTCTTTATATCACATGTAATGTAGCCTCTGGGGACCAGCAGTTGCCGTAATGGCTATGTTGCTGGACTCCCATGTAGTCAACTGTGGTTCGAGTCCCGGACACAGTGGCTTAAAATAATGCTGGGCGCGTGTGCATGCGTGCCCAAGATCCCGAGGGGAGAATGGAGGAGAAGGGATTGCAGCGCCATCCCCCCGGGGAGTGATTTCTCAAATTCTGTCTCTCTGTTTCTCTCTGTCTTTCTGGCAAGCAAAATGCCCTACAGCAAAAAACTCAGCAAAAGGCCCTACAGAAAAAAACCAAAAAAAAAAAAAAAAAAGTAGCATCTGGAACATTCCACTCTGTACTTGCAAATCAATGAAAGTGAAAAGGACAACTAATGTTTTAGTATTATTGTGATAATAGTTTTGACCTTACTGAATCCCCTCTAAGGTCTTTGGTATCATCAAGGTCTTTGGACTCAACTCTGGGAACTGCTGCCTTACAAATCACACTTTTCTAAGCATACCTGCAGTAAAAGCATGTAGACCTGCTTGCTATTTTCCCCACAGCCTTTTTTTTTTTTTTTTTTTTGGAGAGGTTTTTTCGCTATAGGGCGCGTGCGCTCGCCAGACAGACAGAGAGACAGAAAGCGAGAAATCACCCCCCAGGGGGGATGGTCACACCGCAATCCCTTCTCCTCCATTCTCCTCTTGGAATCTTGGGCACGCATGCACACGCACCCGGCGTGAGTTTTAAGCCACCAGGTCCGGGATTCGAACCACGGTCGACTATGTGGGAGTCCAGCAACATAGCCATTATGCTAACTGCTGGTTCCCCCCACAGTCTTTTGAGCAAATAGTTTGGATATTGCCTGTTACCTGATAATTTTAGTTTCAGTAGGAAATACCAACTATCTTTCGTTGCCCATGTAAACTTTAGTATCCAGACAGAAATCCTTGACACTGATTTTACACTATTCCCAGAAACTGCCATGAACACACAATGCTTAGCTGAATTATTGATTCATTAAGCTCAGTGGGAGTGGTTTCTCAAACATTTCTACTAAGAAGTGTAAACCTTGTTGCCTTGCAAGTTTTCATGTGACAGGAACCAGCACTTATCTTGGCAGATTGGAGAGGTAAATACTCCTCAGTAAGACTGAAGGAGCATTTATACATTATTGGTAACAATATAGAAAAGTAACAAATGTCAGAGTGAATCAGAGAAGTTGCCCCACAGGCCAGATTTTTCTTTTCTGTGAGAGCAAAATTGTCAAGGGTTACATCAGCCTTAAGGGAGTCAGTGAGCCTGTGATGCTGAGGTTGCATTTCACATGGTTACCACTAGGGGACGATGGTGTGTCTGTGCAGCAGTTCCAGGCCAGTTGGTAGCTCTTTAAGCCCAAGAAAGCCCAAGAGCTCACAGTATAACATAACCCTAGTCACCTATGCTTTTTTTTTTAAAATAAACATTGATTTAGCTTCAATATTTCACCTGTGCTTTCTTTTTAAAATAAACATTGATTTAGCTTCAATAATTTAGCAGTTTAACTTTTACTCTTTCATTGTTACTAAAAGAATGGCCAAGGAGGAGCAAAGATTAAAGAAATAAAACTTCTAAGTTAAAGTATATTTGTCACTACCCAACTAAACTCCCTTAGTCTAAATATTTACTCTTCAACTGCTCTGAGCTTTAATATGAAAAAGCCCTTTAGTGTATCACTTTGTGGCCATGTGACTTTAAACCACTGTTCTCAGAATTGGAGCATGCAGCCTGTAAATTCATTTCCAGTTCTTTTGCTTTATGTCCCCTTGTTCCTGCATGTCTCGCAGCCCACTGTTAGATCAGATTTTACTGTTTTGGTCAAAGGCCACTTCAAGATTTACAGAGCAAAGAGCAGGTCTGCTGTGATTTTCAGAGGGAATGACAGAGGAAAAAATAAATCAGAGCATAGTGAAGATACTTAGCATTTTAGAAGTAGTCTCTAAAGACAGAACCCTAAGCCCAATATGCCACCAAATTAAAAAACAAACAAGCAAACAAACAAACAAAAAACCCTGTAGTATCTAAAATAACCTTGGCTCTCAGTTTTTGAAGCAGACAGTAGAAAAGAGGTTTAAAAATGTTCACGCTCATCTGTTAGGCCTTACGCACTCTGCCTCCTATGAACTCATCTTGAGTAAATACTTACTGAATAAAGTAGCCATAAGAAATTTCCTGTATAGGTCTAGAACAAAGGGTAGACTTTTTAAAAAGAAAAATGGTAAGAGCCTCTAATTCAGGAGACCTAATTTCCACCAAGTCTCCCCTTCTAATAAAGGTTCCTCCTTTTAATTACCTGCCTGCTATGATCAGTCCTAGGAGCTGAGAGGGTAGGAGAGGCTTCCTGCAGGCTCCACTCTCTGTGGTCATCCTCACTGGACCTTATACCTGTCACCTCTTTGGGTTTCAGACTCTTCTGAAAAAAAAAAAAATGATGTATTGGGCTCTTTCTGGCTCTAAACATTGGAATCTGCTCAGTCCACCATAACTTTTGCTATGTATCATGTCTGCGGAGACAGTTCCTTACACTTGAACAGAATGAATTCTATTGGAAGAGTTACCAAGCAGATGTCGCATGTGTGCCCCACATTCCAGCTGAGGTCCTGAATTCCTGTTGCATACCAATATTGCGTGTGGTGACTTGGATCTGAAATGGGCTCTTTTATGGTATCCATGATGAGCTCTTATTTTCTCCCGAGTGGGACAAATTGCAGCGTGTGGTACACCTGGATTAGCACAGGGACAGGCAGAGGTTCCCCTTCTGAATATTCAAGGATCCCACTGGCTGATGTGCCTGCTCGTGTTGCCCGAGTGGTCGTCCTCACTGGACCTTATTCCTGTCACCTCTTTGGGTTTCAGACTCTTCTGAAAAAAAAAAAAAAATGATGTATTGGGCTCTTTCTGGCTCTAAACATTGGAATCTGCTCAGTCCACCATAACTTTTGCTATGTATCATGTCTGCGGAGACAGTTCCTTACACTTGAACAGAATGAATTCTATTGGAAGAGTTACCAAGCAGATGTCGCATGTGTGCCCCACATTCCAGCTGAGGTCCTGAATTCCTGTTGCATACCAATATTGCGTGTGGTGACTTGGATCTGAAATAGGCTCTTTTATGGTATCCATGATGAGCTCTTATTTTCTCCCGAGTGGGACAAATTGCAGCGTGTGGTGCACTGGATTAGCACAGGGATAGGCAGAGGTTCCCCTTCTGAATATTCAAGGATCCCGCTGGCTGATGTGCCTGCTCGTGTTGCCAGAGCCCATTCATTCGCCGATATCCATGTGAGGGTTTGGGGCTTTAGCAGCTCTTTAGGCCACTTTCAGGAAAAAAGATTTTGTGAAAGTGACCCTCAAAGCACAGCAGGTGAAAGACAGCTGCAAAGGAGCATGTGTGCAGGATCACAACCCACGGCCTGTTCTCTTCTCCTAGTTCTCGGGACTCTACATCCTGTCCTTCACCATCATCATGGTGGGGTTTATCCTGTACTGCTCCACCCCGACTCGCACGGCGGAGCCGGCTGAGAGCAGCGTGCCCCAGGTGACCAGCATCGGGATTGACAACCTGGGACTGAAGCTCGAGGAGAACCTCCAGGAGACCCCCACTGCTATCTTGTAGCTGGGAAAGATGGTGCACATGCACCTCGCAAGATAAAGCAGAGCCCGCTGACTGTGGAGAAACACCTGGGGAGTTACCAGCCTGGAGCGAACACACTGCAGCCCTGGACTGGATCGGTGCTTGGATTAGAAAGGAACTCTAAACGATGTATCTGAAGTAGAAATAGCAAGACAGAGCAGAGCCCAAGGCTAGGACTGTGTTTCGTTGTTTGAGGGCCAATACACGTTAGTGTCAGGGAGCGAGGTGCAGGACCCACACTGGAGTTTCAGAGGCACCAGTGGGACAGCAGGATGGGGGAGATGCTGGGGCAAAGGTGGCTCAGGCCAAGACCTGGAAGCAGGCTATGCAGCCTGGGCTGTGTGGTCTGGTGGGGGCAGTACAGGATGGTTCTGGAGTGGGTTGTCTGTGGGTGAAGGCTTTGAGTTTTTGGGCTTTAGGTGCCATAAAGCCTTGCATCTTACGGGAATACAGGCGGGGCAGCGCTTGAGAAGTCCTGATATACAGGTGTGAGTTCGATGGAAGCACTAAACTGGAGTGCAGTGAACCTGGGGACCCGCTTCCCATTGCCTTTTTTTTTTTTTTTTAAATAAACATTTCTCCTTCATTGCTCTTGCCTCCTTGCCAGCCACATTCTCTCCGTCACCCCAGGTGCGAGGGAGCAGACTGCTCTCAAAGCCTGTGACACTAGACATGTCTTCCACATTTTCAGGACCGGATCATATGCCAAGATTTCTCAAACCCAAGCAAGTATGTGGATGCCATCCTTGCTAGAAAATTCTTACAACTCCTTTGACTATTGCTTTTGATCTCATTAAAACATCCATTCAGGAAACAAAAGCCTGAATACAAATGATCAAACCAAGAGAATACTTGGTTTCTATAACTAGTGAAAAAAAGTTATTATCCAAATTCTCAGAGAAGACTATGTCCATGAACCCTGGGAGTACTCAGTTGTTAAAAAAGGATACTCCAAGGGACCAGCAGTTGGGTAATGGCTACATTGCTAGACTCCTATGTAGTCGACCACGGTTTGAGTCCCTGACCCAGTGGCTTAAACACGCCAGGCGCATGTGTGTGCATGCCCAAGATCCCAAGAGGGGAATGGAGGAGAAGGGATTGCGGCATGGTCATCCCCCCAGGGGTGATTTCTCACTTTCTGTCTCTCTGTCTTTCTGGTGAGTGCACACACCCTATAGCAAAAACTTCTCCAAAATAAAAGGATACTCCATTACATCTTACCAGATATTCATAATGCCATGAGATTTTTACACTACATCTTCAATACAGATTGTTAACATGTTGCATCAGAACAATACCAACCGCCAGAATGCCACTTTAAGAAATCTCTATGTGTAATTTTCTTTTTGTAAAAAAGAAAAAAATCGGGGTGAGTATTCATATTATTAAAATAATACTTTAAATTTATGGAAACACAGTGACTGGGTGGGTTCTTTGATTAACTGACTTCCCTTGCGGATTGGAAGTGACAACATGTTCAAGATTTTTTCATCTCCAATTTCCCAGGATCATATGAGGTAAGCAAACCTATCTGTTTGGACTCTACACTGGGATTGAAGGGAATTCAGAGTGAGCTCCCAAATAATTCTTCACAGGAATAAATGTTGTTCAAATTCTGAAATCCTATAAGGGTTTTTTTTTTTTGGTTAACATTTTAAAGTGGGATAAACTTGCATTCTCTGCAACCAATTAAAGTTGCCTTTTCTTCTCCCCCCACCCCTTTTTCTTTTTTTTCGAGAGGTTTTTAGCTATAGGGTGTGTGTGCTCTCCAGAAAGACAGAGGGAGACAGAGACAGAAAGCGAGAAATCAACCCCCAGGGGGATGGCCATGCCACAATCCCTTCTCCATTCTCCTCTTGGGATCTTGGGCACGCACGCGCACGTGCCCGGCGTGAGTTTAAGCCACCGGGTCTGGGACTCAAACCATAGTCGACTACATGGGAGTCCAGTGACATAGCCATTACGCTAACTGATGGTCCCTAAAGTTGCCTTTTCAACTCATGTTTGGCTTTCACTTTCTGTGCTAACTGTCATTGAGTGGAAAAGGTCCTGTTAAAATGTTTGTCCATTTGGGGAAGGCTTTGTTTCATTAGCACACTGATTATGTTTTAAGCTATCTTGTTTAAGGGGTCAGGTGGTGACATAGTGCTACTGCGACTGGAACCACATGAGAAAGGGTGGTTCCAGAACACCACATGCATGGGTTCACAACCTGGGATCTCCCTAGGCACGCCGAACATGTACGTGCCTGTGACCAGCTGACTGAGGTTGATGGCAGCATGAAGATCCTGTTGGGTGTGCCTGTCTCTCTCTCTCTGTCTTTCTATCTCTTATGGAAGAAATAAATGAATAAACTATTTTTTTAAAAAAAAAGACGTAATTTTAAAAAATCTTATTTAAACCTGTATTGGGCCAGCTCATGGTGTGGTGGCTAAGGTGGCTGGATCCTACACAGTGGACTTAGCAGTTCAAGTCCCAGACCTGGCAGCTTGAAAAACATGCCTATCGCATGTACATACATGCCCCTACACCCAAAAGGAGCATGGAGGAGAAGGAATTGTAGTGTGGCCATCTCCCCTGATAGGTGATCTTTCTCCCACACATGAAGGCTCATGCCCTATAGTAAAACTGAAAATTAAAAAAAAAAAAAAAAAACTTGTAGGGGTCAGCAGGTGGCATGGTGGTTAAGGCACTGGACACTCCCACATGGCCAACTATAGTTTGAGTCCCAGACCTAGTAGCTTGCTTTCTCACTTACCCTCTCTCTGTGTGTGTCTCTTCCTGGTCCAATGAAAATAAATGAATGGATAAATTAAAATTAAATAAATAATTATTTAAAAAATAAATAAACTTGTATATCTGTGGAGGTAATGATGAAGTAAAGACTCAGGTGACAAAATCATATGTGTCTTTCAAGGTTAGGTCAAATGTTTCTTTTCTGAACCTGCTCTCAGGCCATCCAGGTAGGTCTGCTAGATAGGCCTCCTCAGGTCTAGACTCTGTCTTTTTAGCCTTTAGCAGAGTGCTTACCATTTACCTGCCCCTCCCTCCCTCCCTCCCCCCCCCCTCTCTCTCTCTCTCTCTCTCTCTCTCTTTCTCTCTGTGTGTGTGTATGTGTGTGTGTCTCTCTCTGGTGGGCTAACATGTCCTACAGAAAATTGGAAAATAATAATAAATAAAATTAAATAAATTCTTTTTTTAAAAAAAGAAATTATATAGGAAGCATTGTCAAATATGAATGTTGTTTCACTCTCTGTGTACAGAAATTTGTTTAAATGGATGTTCCAAAATTGTATGAAATTCTTTAATACCCGTTCTTTTAATAACTATTTTATTTTTTATTTATTCATTCATTTAGTTTTTAATTTGACCAGAGAGAGACAGAGGGTGAGAGTGAGAGAGGAAGTGAGAAAGCAAGCCACCAGATTCAGGACTCGAACCCTGGTTGGCCATGTGGGAGTGTCCAGCACCTTAACCACCACGCCACCTGCTGGTCCCTAATACCTGTTTTGTATTAGTGTGTTTTAGCCATACTTGTAATGCTAAATAGTTCTAATTAGTTTCTCACAGAAATTATCAAATTTGTCTGTTTGTGGTTATGGTAAAATCAGATCTCAAACCATGGCCATTTTAAGTTTCATTGTCCATAGTTAATTGTTTTATTCTGATGCTCTTTTTTTTTTTCTTGGACAGATTTTTGCTATAGGGCGTGTGCGCTCAGACAGAGAGACAGGAAGCAAGAAATCAATCACCCCCCAGGGGAAATGGCCACACCACAATCCCTTCTCCTCCATTCTCCTCTAGGGATCCTGGGCACGCATGCACATGTGCCCGGTGTGAGTTTAAGCCACTAGGTCTGGGACTCGAACTGTGGTTGATTACATGGGACTTCAGTGACAGAGCCATTGCGCTAATTGCTGGTCCCTATTCTGATGCTCTTTCTAAATCATTTTGTAATAGGCTACAATTGAAAATAGCCTCTTTTAAGGAAATGAATGAAAAAGACTGATAAGTATCCTTGAATATAGGGTTTTTGTTTTGTTTTGTTTTGGTAACACTAGGCCACTTTAATGTTTTTGTACAGTTTAATAAATCATCTTTTGATGACTGTAGACATGTAAGACTGGCTGTATCCGGAAACATCGGTCATGACGGTTTTCCAGATTGGCGTATCATCTTAAAAAATTACAAGGAGTTATTTGTATGCAGCTGCTATCAAACCAGTAAGACAACATTTATGTGTCCATCATTTTCAGGGTTGTTGGTAATTTGGGCATATTTCCACCAAATAACCTTGCCTTCTTGTGTCACAAGGCCCAACTTGCTCACGTTCACCTCAATAACAGTACCTTTGGTGATAACACCCGAAGTTGTATATAGTGGGGATGAGGGATTCTTCTTTACACCAAGTATTGGCAGGCAAAAGGTGGCTTTCAGTTCAGGATGTGTTATGTGGGCCTTCTTGAAATGTAAGCCCATTGGCCCAGTGAATCTTTGATATTTAGGTGGTTTTCTAGTAAAGCCATCTCTAACAAAGCAGACTTTTGTAACCATCCTCTTCCATGTCTTTTCCTTTCTCTTTCCTATTGGAATAACTTTCAATACTTCTGCTTCTCCCTGGGCTCAAACTTTGGTTAGAGGAACTTCCCATTTTTCCACTTTCTCTTTCTGTTTTTGTTTAATCATATTGGAAAGTACTTTAGCTCAGGACTGTCCTTCTCTGTCCAACAGAGAGCTAGGTACTGCTCCTTGTGGAGTCTTTTCATCATTCTTTTGTTTGGTGCTTCTCTTTTCATGCATCTTGATAATCTTTTTCATTTGTATTTTCTCATCATGGCACTGTGTATGGTAGAGCTTAGCCTTCAGATCAATCATCTTTTTTGCCTTCTTTGAATGTTCATGAGCCTCCGACTTTTCCATCTTTCTCTTTTTCTCATGGTAATCCAAAGTGTCCATAGTGTTTATGATGTCATTCAATATATTCGCTTTGTGGCATGGTGACGGCTGCAGAGTTGCTGGGAGCAGCTTCCCCGATGCAAAGAAGTTGTCAACCTTTAGGTCTCCTTGTATATAGGTTTTTGATATCTTTAAGATATTTCTGAACTTCCAGAATTTAAACAGAAAGATTAGACCACAGTAACACCGTAAATTCATCAGAAGATAGATTAATTATGAGACTGAACTGGTAAGATAGAATTTCATGACTTTTGACTAAAACATTACTACTTTTTTCTATGCTCTGTTTTCCAGATAAGGATTTTTGTTTCCTTTTCAGCTGTTGATAGCTCCAGCAACTTGTTTAAAAAAATTTGGGGTGTGGGAGGTGGCAGGTGGTATGGAGGTTAAGGGTGCTGGACTCCCACATGGGCGACTGTGGTTCAAGTCCTGGACCTGGCAGCTTGGTTTTCTCTCTCTCACTCACTGTGTCCCTTTATTGTCAAATTAAAAATAAATAAATAAAGTTAAATAAAATAATTCTTAAAAAAAATTTTTTTTGGGAAAACGGAATTGAAGCATAAACTTTTCTCCCTTCCTGACCCCTCCAAAATTGGAAAGTATTTATGAGGATTCAGATG